AACCTAAACCATTCTATGATTCTATGATTTGTCACTTTAATTTCACTTATTTAAATAAAAGCAGCTTGTACCTAGCATCTGAATAGAGTCAGAGCACTTAAGTGTTTTAAGTTAACTTAAAACACTTCAAATTTGATTTAAACAGTCAAGAACACCTCTACGATTAGAAGTTACTATGGAGCATTCAAATGCCAGCTCTCACAAAGGTCACTGCCTGTACAATAGCAGCACATCACAGGTCCTATTTAACACTCGGTTGACACTAGAGAAAATATACATGGCTCACTAGGGGCTGCCTTCAGCCTTTGACTGCCTCAGCAGCTGCTGAGAGGCAACTCTCCCCCTCTGATTCAAGAGCACGTCAAATAAGGTACAGCCTCCTTCATCACAGCTCATTCCTCCATCCTCTTCCACTCTAGAAGCCCAATCTATCCTTCCCTCATTCTCCAGTAAAGAAAGAAAACTAAAATCCCAAATGCCCCCTGCTTCTCCTCAAGAAATTTCTAGTCATAGATGATTACTTTAAAGCCTTCTTGAATTTAGGAGAACAAAGTAATCTGGAAGTGATATGGGGGAGAGGAGAATGCTCTACAGTGAATTCCACAATTTATTTTTTTCTACTTTAGATACGCAAGCAAAAACCAAGGCGAGACAGGACTGAAGACACAAAAGAACTGACAGAACACCACTAGTCTCTCCTACTTCTGGTCATTCTTCTTTCTCTTCCTTTCAATTATGCAGGGAGAAAGTTCTTTGCACATAATTAAATTAATATTTATATTAAAATATATACAATAATGCAGAATTAGCATTTACCTATAAAAGCTATGAGGGAAAGGGGAAGAGTTACAGCAATCCTCTGAGCTATAACAATCCTCTAATAAGTGTAACCAACAGCACTTCATTGCCATGGTGAAAATGTGGAAGTGAGTTTACAGTATTTAAACAGACCTTGTTTATTTTGAGAATAGGGTAGGGAGGGAAGTGGGGAAAATAAGCTTTACATCAGCATTCTTACCTTGGTTATCTTCTGAGACACCTGGATGCGAGAGATCCAAGATGATTTGTTCCTTAGGTACTTTAGGATCATAGATATGGAGCTTTGCTCCTTCATCCATTAAATACTTGCTAATGTAGATACTGGATGACTCTCTAGGGAAGTGAATCAATCAGTTAAAGAAACAGAAGGCATGTTCTAAGTAATGGAAGTCTTCAAGTGTCATGATACGCGCAATGCCAGAGCTTTTATACCAGTTTTGCATTAAACATCTTACTGGTAATCCATGCCAGGAGCAAACATGGAATCTTGAGGGACACCAAGGACAGTAATATGAAAAACTAGTTTACATCTCTTTTGCTGAATCACGCAAGAAAGATACTAAGCCCCGGGACTCCTATTGACCATAATTAACAAGGCATCGAGCTTTCAAGCATTCCCCACAAACTGCAGTTGGAGAGTTGTATCAAGTTTGAGCTTTACAAGAAAAACAGAAACAAAGCTGAAACAACACTTCACACAGCAATTTAGAACCAGTTGCAAAGTGTTTGTATTCTTTTCTGTGGAGAATGGAAGGACTCTCAAAATCTATCATTGATTATGCAAGTTAATAAGGACTAGAGTTATCTGTTCTAGCTTCCGAATGATTCAAGTATGTTGTAGAAGTCAAGAATCAATTGTCCCACCTACTTCTGGAAGACTGAGCCTTGTTACAAACCAATTCACTCAAGAGAGGTTAAGGGTCCCATGTCTGATCTGTTTTTATTAATGCAATTCAGTTGGGTGGTTTAGCTGCATAGCTGGTGATATCCATGTTAGTGAACTGAACTTGCTTTCTTACCTTGTGTCCCCAGTGTCCTTTTTGAAGGCAAACCCTAAAATAGCAATCTTCTTATCAGTGACAGTATTGAACAAGCTGTCAATAATGCGGGAAGCAAATCTTCTTCTCTGATAATCATTCATGTCTATTACCTGAAATTATATTAAAACATGATGGTACAGAAGGGAGCCCTTTTAAACCATATACCAGTTGTATTGACAATCAAGCCAAGCCACCCACACATAAGTTTAACAAAGGCTTAAAAGAGAAAGCCAAGTATTTTTACTCAGTATCGTAAATGATCCAAAGATAAATTTAGTTAATTTATCAAATTCTGAGACAAATACTATTTTAATCAATGACTGTAGATGCATATAAATGCATACTATCATGCATTATCTAGTTCAATAAGGCTAGGACTTTTTCAGATTCCTTTTTTTTTTTTTTAAATCTACAACTTATTGTATTCTAGGCAGAAACTGGGAAAGCAATTTCAGTGTTACAGTACTTGATGTCACATGGAAATCCCATCGCCAGACCCACACTTACATGCCATGTATAACAACTGTGAGAACATTTTTAGCCTTTTTAATCTACAGTAACAGATTTCAGTACACAAAACTAGTGTGGTTAAATGAGATTTTAAGTGCCTCACTTCTGTTATTACACAAAGGTGGGTTCACTCTGATTGTTCCTGTACTTTCCTCCAGCCTACTTAATACTTTGATCTCCAGCCCTTAACACAGAGGGCAGTGGATCACTAGCAGAATAGGAAAGGTAGGTTCCCCACCTAGTCAATGTTCAATGTGGACTGGAAAGAACTACACTTCCTTCTCAACCTTTCAACTCAAATCAAGAATTAACAGCAGTAGCCTACGAAACATGAGGTACAAACTATACAGCATAGAAGATATTGGTGAACTAGATTTATTTGAGGACAAGAAATAGAGCAGTGAGATTTATGCAATTCAACAAGGTGGTGATGAGGAACAAAGGTAACAGTTGACAGGATAAGGAGGACACATTTCTTTCTGTAATTATGTTTTCAAGGAATGAAGATTTGAGTATTAGAGAGCCCTGTCCTGTCTAAAGGCCAGAGAGAATAAAAGTTAGGATTGTGGGGCTGCTTTGATCAGCATATCCTCTGAAATTTGCATCCTGTCCTCAGGCTGCTCTGAGGTCGCCCACATGGAAGCACTGGGATGAGCTGTTGACAGTGCAGTGCCCAGGCCACAAAGAAGGGGTTCACACCACTGCTTGTGTGTGCATTACATGGCTTGACCAGTGTGGGTTGGAGCAGAGACTCCTGCAAGATGACAGTGCTCTGAGTAAGCAGGAGGTGTAGGTAAGGGGTTGCACTACATGAACACAACACACTCTACTTTATCCTAACATTGCAGCAGCTATTCTTATTATCCAATTTGTCCACAGCTTAAGCCATATAGAAGCACTGCAAAGAAATGCTCTTAAAACAGAGTAAAAGAGCATAAAAGCATTAAAAGCACTTTAAACTAGTTTGTTTACATTAACAATGCAGCCTTTTAGGCTTTTATTAAATGAAAAGCCATCTCCACACAGAGCAAACAGTAAGTGTTCCTGTGCCTCTGGGTTGCCAAGATACCAAACAGGTTGCATTTTGAGAAGAACTCTTGTGATCTCGAAGGAGAGAGCCAAACCAATCTGTCTCCTTCAAGACAGTATTAATTTTTCCCTATTCATTAGATTATCATTCAGGTAACATGGTTAGTTCCTGCAGCTCCTGCTGCTTCAGGGATTGCCTGTTGTCTGCTTACATCTTACACTGATTAAAAGCAGTAGTTCTTGAAGCAAATACCAGAACCTAGGGCTCCTTCTCTTTCCTACTGTGACAACACATCCAAGTCCTACACCAAAACGAACCTCTCCTGGATGCTTGCACAAGGTTCACACAGTATGATAGTCTTGGCTTCACTGATGAGATTGCAAGTCTCTCCACCATGGACTAGACTATCCTACTGAAGTATGTTTTTGAGGATGGTGTCAATCTGAACTTCTTCAGAGGCAGACAGCATAAACCCCATGTCCTCCTTGCCCCAAGCAATTGATGTAAGAATTATAGTTACAAATAAGTAACTAGGTTGCTGAGTAGCCCCTGGTTGGAGGTTAAGCTATCTCAACAGGATGCAGAAAGCCATCAGACATCACAGGTAATGCAAGAAGCTGACAGAAGTCACAGCTAGTACTGCGAGGGATGGCCGAGTTTGACAAGCAGTTACGGATTTCAGTATAGATGTGGCATAACCAACAAGTGATGAAAGAGTAATTATGGGCAGGTTGTTTATTTAGCAGCAGACTGGAATGGAGAAAAGTGAGGGGAAAAAAGGCTAGCCAAAAGGAACACTGAAGAAAAAGAGGAAAGATGCTAATAAGGTAGGAAAATCACGTGCTTGGTATTTTGGGGGCATCTGCTAAGGAGTCTTGAAGTTGATCACAACAGCCTAAATGAGAACAATAAACCAAAGCTGCTGTTCTGACCATACCACATATGTCAAAGCTGCTTCCCCAGTCAGAACTGGGAAGAGGGGTGAGATGCTTTCACTGGTTAACAGGGAAACACTTGCTAGTACAGACTGAGCATCCTGGTATTGCTGTGCTGGTGCTAGGCCTGAGAGCATCCACATCTTCCCAACCATTCCTAACATTAACCAGGGAACAACAGCAACCATGTCTATTTAAAAGACCAGAAACTCCTGCTGAGTTTTTTCAGAAAGGGAACTGTAAAAGTAGACTCTGAGGAAACAATCATAAGCTCTGAATTCAAAGTGGACAGAGATAACCAAGTGCAAGAGGAAGACTGGAGTCTAAACATGCTTGTGCTTCACATTTTCTACTGCTGCTTCTAGACAGCTTCCCAACCCATTTGATCCAGACAACTTAAGTCACCTCAAAAAAGCCTGAGCACCCACAAGTATCAAATGCTAGCGTTAGGCTGAGGGCCCTAAAGTGTAAACATGATCAACATTAAGTTGTCCACTTCTTAAAAGCTGAAACACAGATTACATGAGGTCAGTGCTCAAAAGCTCAATGCCTGAAAGCTGAATGATGAAGAAACACCACCCCCTCAAAAAATAAAATAATCAGTGAAGAACTTGTACCTGTTGCCAGTAGCGGGCTACTTCAGGTAAGTTCAGTGCCTCACAGAGGTACACTAAATTCAAGACATCCTTCTGAAAACAGCTACCTCCAAACCCTGAAAGAGAAAATTGTTATTTTACAGGTGACTAAGGTACTATTCTAACCCCAATCTTTGGGGTTGTTTTTGGCAATCACTGACACAGTCAGCATTATGCTCCCCAGTATTTCACTGCTAGCAAATGAAAGCATTAATAACATCTTAAAATCCAATTCCTGGATCTACTTACTTTGTCAGTTACAGAAGCCCTAAAATCTGCTTCAGGTCCCACTGAAGTAAGTGGAAGTTTTAACCCAGTCTCAGAGAAACATGTAATAAGATATATTCTATTTTTTTGTTATTAAAAGTGGGTGGACAAGCTCCTGGGTTTGCTCTCCCTCCACCCAAAGATTTAGAGGAATATTTCTCAGAACAAGTATATTAAGATTAGATTCTTTCTCCCTCCACCCCCAAATGGATATATTTAATTATTGCCAAGAATCAAAGATCACCACAGCTAAGGGAGAACTGAGACAATTAATAGAAGGATCCTTGACCCCTAGAATTTTGCTCAGCAGAGTCCCAGAAGCAACACATTGTAGAACAGACCATTTCAGTTGGTAGGGACCTACAACTATCATCTAGCCCAACTGCCTGACCACTTCAGGGCTGATCAAAAGTTAAAGCATGTTAAGGGCATCGTCCAAATGCCTCTTAAACATTGACAGACTTGGGGCATCAACCACCTCTCTAGGAAGCTTGTTCCAGTGTTTGATCACCCTCTCTGTAAAGAAATGTTTCATAACATATAGTCCAAACCTCCCCGACACAGCTTTAACCATTCCCAAGTGTCCTGTCACCAGGAGAGCTCAGCACCTCCCTCTCCACTTTCCCTCCTCAGAAAGCTGTAGAGGGCAATGAGGTCACCCCTCAGCCTCCTTTTCTCTGAACTAAAGAAACCCAAAATCATTAGCTGCTCCTCATAGGTCACACCTTCCAGCCCTTTCACCACCTTTGTGAATTCATCCTACAAGTTAGAAGTTGCCATCACACGTTCTGACACAGAGCCATCCCATTCCTCAGGCCACTGGCAGCAACTCCAGAACAAAACTGCAGCAGTTACAAGACATCTTGGAAAGCACCATCATCAGTGACGCTTCAGAAAAATAAAGTTGCAACTTTTCTTTCCAGTGTCCCAAGCAGGATAAGCTGTGTGCTCTGAACTATCAGGTTTCAGATTGCCAGTGTCTAGAACAACCTCAGTCCTAGACATTTTACCAGAAAAACTGATTTATGTTAGTACTCTACAGCAACATTTTCACACACACATGCTGTAGAAGATCTTAGATTATCAGATCACTTATTTCAAAACACTACTAGTAGACCTATTGCACTATTAAACAGAAGGCCAGAAGAAGGGGTGGGGGGAGGATTTTTCATTTACCAACACTGGCTTTGAGAAACTTATTTCCAATTCTTTGGTCTGTTCCAATAGCTCTTGCTACTTCTTCAACATCTGCTCCTGTAGCTTCACACAGAGCACTGATTGAGTTAATGCTGCTGATTCTTTGGGCAAGGAAAGCATTAGCTGCCTGTAAATGAAAAACATTGTTAAGAACTTGAGTCTTCCAGAAACCAAGATGCCCATAGACCCAACAGAGTTACTACTGGAAGGATTACTTTAGTATCTATGTAACTCTGTTGAGATACCAAATGGTAACATAGTTACTACTGGAAGGATTACTTTAGTATCTAGGTAACTCATGTTACCATTTGGTATCTCAACAAACTAGTCTAATACATCAATGCCAGTTAATAGGGTCTAAGTAAAATAATGTAATGCTTAACTTGCAGACTTTGAAACATTTTATGATTGTAACCAGTTTCTGCAGCACTGGAGGTTTACGCTTAGTAATAAATAACACAGCAATAAAAGTGAGAAAAGGATTTCAGGGAAAGCTGGTATCATCTATTAGCTTAACTGAGATCACTGGAAAAGATTAATATCCTTTGACATATATGCTGGCTCCACCCAACATCATCTGTCTTTCCTAGCTGTGTCACTCAGGGTCAGTAAACTTCTGCATCTGAGCTCTGCCTCGCTTACAGGCTTTGCTCATTGCGGACAACAGCAGCGAGCAACACTGACCAGCTTAGAGAGTTCTGATGACCAGGTATTGGTTGTGAGGATTTTTTCTTTGGGCACCCAGTGCTCATAAACAGCACAAAGAGCACGGACAGCTTTCTGTCCCTCTGGAGAATCATCTCCACCGATAAGCACTCTGTCTGGGTTCTTCAGGTCATTGATGGCTGTTCCTTCTGCGAGGAACTCTGGGTTAGACAGCACCTACAGGCACAGAAATAAAGAACAACAGATAAAAGCCAAAAGCAACAACCAGCTTTTAAATATACAACTCAGTTTACACTTACCTGCAAATCCAAGTTAGGCTTCGTATTAGCATCAAATATCCGACGGATGCTCTCTGCAGCACGAACTGGAACTGTGCTTTTCTCAGTGACGATTTTATAGCCATTTGAGTTTTGTACAATTCGTCTAGCACAAGCTTCAATGTATTTCAGATCAGCTGCTCGGCCTTTTCCCATGCCATAGGTCTTTGTTGGAGTGTTAACCTAGTTACAAATACATGGAGGGGGAAGAAATGTTACAGGTCTCTCAACACAATAGCTACTGACAAAGTGAAGTTGTTAAAGGTGACAGACATTTTCCTTCCCAGAGTCCAACTTGCTTCTGCCCCAGAATTATTCTAGTTACCATATCAGATGAACAGCTATTAGCTTTCTCAATTACCCATTTTGTCTTCTAAACAAAGCCCATTGGCCTCTATTCAAATAGCATTTAAACAATAGCAATCCAGAGCAGCTCTGCGGGATTTGGTGAAACTTAGTCCTTATTCTGGAAACACCAGTAATTTCTTCATTATTACAGCCAGCCAACTTTTGTTTCTGTTCCCACATCAGAAGTGTGAAAATTCACATTATAAGAATTTTGGAGCTAGTTATGGTTTAAACCCACTTTGCAGAGAAACTTAAGTGTAGAGCCGCTGAAAATTGCTATACTGAAGTACACAGAAAAGGCAACATGAGAGAACACACGTCATTTAGATTAAGACAGAGTCTCCTTTTCATTACAAACAAAGAAGAAATGGCAACAACACGTAAAACACAACGGCATGTTTTAAGCCAAGGACAAGTGGCAATATATGGCCTGTATTAGTGGCAGCCATCCAACCAAGTAGCATTTATTTTAGACTTAATGAATGGAGAAAAATGCTATCAAAAAAGAGAACTCTGTACTGAGGTGCCCTAACAAAGAGGAGTTCTCAACAAAAGAGGATGTAAGTAACAAAAATAACTCAACTGTGGCCTACCAAGATGAATAGCAATCAGTTCTTTTGGATTCTACATTAGGAATAACCTTCTAGATTACAAAAGGTCACAGTGTTGATGTTTGACTGGAACCCCTTCCTAGTGGTGTCAACAGCTTAGAAATATTGAAACTAGAAAATTTAAAGCCAGCCCCTCTTCCATTAATACACTAGTTTTTGAAAGCTTCTAGAAATAAGTCATCTTTGTAACCCAATAATCACTATATGATTTTGCATCCCTGTCTAGGAACCATATCAATATTATTAAAGTCTCAGATTTCCATAGTACACTGCAATCACAGATCTGCACTACATGCTGCTCTATGACCCCATACATCTAACTAAGCTAAACATTATCATTTTCTTTAGAGCCTGTTCATTTGTTAAATGTTCTACTGGCTACAAGAAACAGATAAAAATAAAATGAAAACCTTACTTAACACTTTTCTCACACTACACAGAAAGATAAGGAGAAAACTGTGACACAGTGACTTGACACTGCTAACTGAATATATATGACAAAACAAAGGCCTCTTCTTAACATAAGAGAAACACAATGAATTGATAAGAAAGAAAAAAACCACATACACACACAATAACCTCCCCCTAAACTTACAGAAATAAATACAAGATCAGCTTCTCTAATGGCATCATCGATACTAGTAGAAAAGAAGAGGTTTCTTCCTCGACAGGATTCTACCACTTCTTTCAATCCTGGCTGAAAGAAAAGCAGAAAAAGCAGTTAAGGTTAATGCAGTTCAAAAAACTGTAAACTGCATGCCTAAACAAACAGTGGATCATTTCAGAAACAGAAAGGTTTTTTCCTTCCCCCTTCAGTGTAGCACGTTTTCAGTCTGCCACATGTGAAGTAAAGCTTCTGCAGATCTACATAGTGAAAAAAATGAAGCCCTTTCTTATTCAAAACACTCAAAATGCTGTCTCAAAACTTCCAGCCACACCGAGTTGTTATTTGCACAACCAGATTTTAGGCTCCAGCTATTCCCATGCTCAAGTCTATTACTACAAGCAACAATTAAAGAGAGACCTACAGAGTGATGTTAAATAGATCCAGTAAGTAAAGTCTTACAATATTCTCTAGGCTGCAAACAAAAAAGGAGAGTTGGGACCACCTCCTCCCTCAGCTACACATTTCATGACCTCCCCAACATCAGATATAAAACTAATTCAGCACAGAAGAGCCACAAAGAAGTCTTCTACCAAATCAGCAGAGACACACAGGAGGCAAAGACCACTCCTTTTGGCAACCACTCATATTTGGACCAGATTAAACTTATCACGGCACCACACCTGCAGCATGGAAGAATCACAGGCACAATTTGATGAGATTCTTTCCAGAGACACATACTATGCTGAAACATTTTCCCTTCCCTTAACACCTCCACTCAGACAAGAGAAGCAGGTGGCCACATATACATGTATTAGAATGGTCTATAAAATTATTTAACTAAGATTTAGTTTCCATAGATAAAGAAGTCTTTACTTTTGTTTGAAAAACAGTCATACACCATGACCTGGCAATCAGATCTCCAACTGGAGAGACGCCTATCATGACATGAAATATTTGAGTAAGTGCCAGAAAGGTAAAGGTTCAAAGGGAGAGAGGAAAACAAAGCAGGAGCTTTCTCATGCAAGACATTTTTGCTGTCTCACTTTATACTAAACACCTACTTGAAAGGACAATAGAGGTCAGCACAGGCAGAATAACATGTGTTACACCCTATCAAATATTCCAACAGTGGTCTTACTGGGATGTAAATAGAAAGGCAGCCCACTAGACAATTTCTGGCACTGGAGAGAAAAAATGCAAAACAAAAATCAAAAACCTCACTGTGCAATGACTCCATTTTACAACTGTCTGAACTAATTCTTGGCAGTTTTCATACATTCTTTGTAAGTGAAGGACACCATTCCAGGAAACAGATGTTGTGAGCTTTGCTTGGGTTTTCTGTTATTATTGTCTGGGGTTTTGTTTTGTTTGTTTGTTTTTAAAAAAGGCATACCAAGACTAACTACTTTAACTCATTCAGTCTAAGGGTTCATAGAAAAAGTACTTGCTTTCATGATCTTCATTCATTTCTCACCTGCTAATCTGAGCATTATACACATTTTCCTTTGAATACAGAGTATTCCTTGAACATGAGTGTGACAAAGGAGGTCTATTCATCTTTGCTTAAAGAGTCACAGCATAGGTTTGTTTTAAGAGGAAAAAATAAAAAGCCCAAAACTACATTAGTGTTACAACACAGACAGGATTCAGAAGACTTCTTATAGCAAAAGAGTAACTGTTAGTACCAGGCAACATGCCTTTGCAAGCCAAATTAAGATAAGTTTTCAGTCCTATTAAAGAACTCAAACCTATTAAAACTATTAATACATGAAAGAATGAAGGAAAGAAAAAAAAAGAGAGACCTGTTCTTTAAGGGTAGAAAAGAATGAAAACCAGCAAGTGGTAAGAGAAGCAAAACAGAAAAATGCTTTATATATCTTCAAATTAAAATCATTCCGTAATGAAGGAGTGCTAGTGTGGTACACTTAAAAATTTTTATCTGGCCTAGCCTTCTCAGGCCAGATTGGAGGTTTATGGTACCAGTGAATCAGGAACATGACTGTTCCCATCTTACAACAGGGTTAAGATGGGCAGTGCAGATTGGATTTTGGCAGTATTCAGAATAAGAACAGAGCTTCCACCCAGTATTACACATTCATATTGTGCTACAACACAGCAGATAATACCTATAACTAAGCAACAGTACTACATTATGATTAAATCAGGTCCCAAAAGAAAGTCAGTATGTTTCAGCCCAATTCATTATATATACAATTACATTTTTCCTTACTAGGCCCTTCATATACAATCCTTAAATACCTGCCTGCACCAGACATATTACTTTATTTCAAAAAAGTCTGGTTTAATGAGCAGTAGTGACAAGCAGCTGTTCCAGA